ATCAAAGCTTAGGAAAACTGCCACAGGCAGAATTTGGAAGGCAGAATGCTAAAAAGGAGGGCATCATGAAGAGAGAGGCCCAGAAATAAGAATGGGGTCCCATTGACCCTTTGCTGAAAACCTATCAACACTTGCACAGAGTGAAAACTCATGAAGGAGGTCGGAAGCCAGGAATCTTTAAAGTTCACAAGTCCTGGTTTTCAATAGGACTGGGAAATTTTTGAATTCCAGCCAGTGGAGACCACTCTGGACAACATTTAAATATCAATCAGTGAAGACCCAAGATAGGTCAATTCTTATTAGTAAGAAGACACTTCTGTTGGTCTATTTATATTCCAGTGCTCTCTGTGAAGTCAGTTCAAGATATCAAGTCTACAACATGTTTTTATTTCTTTCTTTGTCCATTTCTGTTTCTTCCCCCCCTCACAGGTGTCAATCTCAAAGGCAGTCCCTAATAAACTTTAAATTTTGTCTTGGAGTCTGCTTCTTAGAGGATCCAAAATGTGATAACAATTGTGTTTGTGAATATGATTGATTTACCCCAATCTTATTAAAAATTTTATTAAACAAATAATGTAATTACTATAACATTAGTAACAAATAGTATACTAGCTTTATTTATATTAGCTTTTATAGCTTCTATTGTAGAGATAAAGAAGCTATGAGTCCAAAAGTGAAGAGGAAGAAGACACAAATAGAATTGATATTTATTGAACATTTATTATGTGTCAGCATTATAACATAGAACCTAATACCTGTGTACTGTCCGACTAATCCATACAACACTCTTCAGAGATCAGAAGGGTATCTCTGTTAATAGATGAAGAAACTGAGACTCAGAAGCAAATGTCCAGGCTAGTAAAAAAAAAAAAATAGCAAAGGACAGAAACAATGTTTTAATCCAAATGTCTGACTTCAAATATCTGTGCTTCACTAATCAAAACTGCCTTATGTGTGATTATAAAGAAAATATAAATTGAATCAAGCACCTTCTACTCCAAATTTAGGTTTCTTCAGTGTGCATCTACTGGTCAAAGTATATACTCCCCCATCTACTACTCATTTCAAATTAGGTTTATAGTGTAACAAGTTTTAGTTAATTTTCAAGTGTATCCATAAAAATTTTACCCACTTTATATAAATGAAAGTATTCAAATAAATATATGATTAATTAGGAAAATGATTCAAACTAAACTCTAATAATGGTCATTTAAAACATGTTCAATTTAACCTCTGCTTTTTTCCTATAATTTGCAGATTTTTGTAGACTGCATTTGCAGAAACATCTTCTGACACAGTTATCCTGTCCTTTTATTTAACTTTTGACAACTGACTCTAATTTTATATTTGGGGGCATGTCTGTCTTAATTATTGGCACATAGCATGTTCTTTGTCCAGATATCATCACTGACTTTTTTCACTTTGAGAGACATTCCAGTTTTCCTCCCAGAGTCCTAAGCTTAAAATCCTCTGCAGAAAATCATGAGTACAAATTTATAGTACAAAGATAGCATGGGATACAACTGGGGGTAGAAAGTTATATGCTCAGAATGAATACAATATATAAGTTTATAACAAGATAGTGCAAAGTGCCTTTATGAAATTGCAGATATACTAACTTTATGAATTGCAGATATACTTTATACTAAATTGCAGATATAACTAAATTTTTGTGGGAATCAACAGGCAGTTAGCAGGGTCATTTTGTTCTTACAATGCTGCCTATAATGAAATGAATCACAGATGCAAATGAAAGGTAGGGAAGAAGATTGCAATGTGCCTGGCAAATTATAGTCTCTTTTTAAGAATAAAGCAGTAAGTAGAGTGGGACTTTGACCACTAGAACATTTCTCCTAAATAGTGTTGAAAACACTGGATCTATCACCAGACTTGAAATGCTCTCAGTTTATAAAGCAATGCTCTAGACTAATTAAGTAATGTAACACTTTAGTTTAGGAATATGTTATACTATCTAAGATTTGATTAGATGGTATGATTTAAGGTTTAATCACGATGATGTGATCACTCATCTAGAGCCAAACATCCTGGAATGTGAAATCAAGTGGGCCTTAGGAAGCATCACTACAAACAAAACTAGTGGAAGTGATGGAATTTCATCTGAACTATTTCAAATCCTAAAAGATGATGCTGTGAAAGTGCTGCACTTAATATGCCAGTACATTTGGAAAACTCAGTAGTGGNGGCATCTGGTCCCATCGCTTCATGGTAAAATAGTTGGGGATACAGTGGAAACAGTGTCAGACTTTATTTTTTTGGGCTCCAAAATCACTACAGATGGTGATTGCAGCCATGAAATTAAAAGATGGTTACTGCTTGGAAGAAAAATTATGACCAAGCTAGACAGCACATTAAAAAGCAGAGACATTACTTTGCCCACAAAGGTCTATCTAGTCAAGGCTATGGTTTTTCCAGTAGTCATGTATGGATGTGATAGCTGGACTATAAAGAAAGCTGAGCACTGAAGAATTGATGCTTTGAACTGTGGTGTTGGAGAACACTCTTGAGAGTCCCTTGGACTGCAAGGAGATCCAACCAGTCCATCCTAAAACATATCAGTCCTGAGTATTCATTGGAAGGACTGATGTTGAGGCTGAAAGTCCAATACTTTGACCACCTGATATGAAGAGCTGACTCATTGGAAAATACCCTGATGTTGTCAGGGATTGAGGGCAGGAGGAGAAGGGGACAACAGAAGATGAGATGGTTGGATGGTATCTCCAACTCAATGGACATAAGTTTGGGTGGACTCCAGGAACTGGTGATGGACAGGGAGGCCTGGCATACTGCAGCACATGGGGTTGCAAAGAGTCAGACAGGACCGAGTGACTGAACTGAACTGAACTGAAGATTTGATTGGCTCTCATTTCAATAACAGCTGACAGCACCCTGCTGTCTATAACCAAGAGCAGAAAACAGTTTCGGACATTATAGACCTAATACTTCTGAAATAATTTCTAATGAGTTGATGAATTGTGTAAATTTCTTAAAGTGGATTTTTCTTTTAATTGGAGGATAATTGCTTTGCAATGTTGTATTGGTTTCTGCCATACAAGAACATGAATCAGTCATAACTATATATATATTTATATACATATGTGTATGTATATATATATCCCCTCCATCTTGCACCTCCCTTCAACCTTCCCCACCATCCCACCCCTCTAGGTCAGTTCAGAGTGCCAGACTGGGCTCTCTGTGTTATATAGCAGCTTCCCATTATCTATATATTTTCCACATGGTAGTGTATACATGTTAATGCTACTTTTCCAATTTGACCCACCCTCTCTGTCCCCCAGGTATGTTCACAAGTCCATTCTCTATGTATGCATCTCCTTTCCCTCCCTGCAAATAGGCTCATCAGTACCATTTATCTAGATTCCATATATATACATTAATATATGGTATTTGCTTTTCTCTTTCTGACTTACTGCACGCTGTGTAACAGGCTCTAGGTTCATTCACTTCAGTTCAATTGCTTCACTTTGTTCATTTTATGGCTGAGTGATATTTCATTGTATATATGTACCACAACTTCTTTATCTATTCATCTTTTGATGGACATCTAGGTTGCTTCCATGTCCTGGCTATTGTAAATACTGCTGCAGTGAACACTGGGGTACATGTGTCCTTTTGAGTTGTGGTTTCCTCAGGATATATGCCCCAGTTGTGGAATTACTGGGTGATACAGCAGTTTCATTCCTAGTTTGTTAAAGAATCTCAATAGTGGCTGTATCAATTTGTATTCCCCATCAATAGTTCAAGAGAGCTCCCTTCTCTACATCCTCTCCAGCATTTATTGTTTGTAGATTTTTGATGATGATGGCCATTCTGACTGGTAGGAGATGAAAACTCATTCTAGTGTTGATTTGCATTTCTCTAATAATGAGCCATGTTGAGCATCTTTTCATGTGTTTGTTAGCCATCTGTATGTCTTCTTTGGAGAAATGTCTGTTTAGGACTTCTGACCAGTTTTTGATTGGCTTGTTTGATTCCCTGATATTAAATTACATATATATTTTGAAGGTTAATTCTTTGTCCATTGCTTCATTTGCAATTATTTTCCCCCATTCTGAAGGTTGTCTTTTCATCTTGTACTGCTTTCTTTCTTTTTGGTTTTATAATTCATAAAGTTTCAGAGATTTTTAAAAAAAATAAAAATAAAATAAAATAAACAGCCTTTTAAACAGGCCCCAAACCTTGGTAATTTATCTAGAAGTTACTCAGATATAGACAAAACTTATTTCATTTCCTAGAGTTTTGTCTGTGTATGCTTGACCTGGAAATTGTGATCTTAGAAATTAAGTTTATGCTGAAATTATGAAGTTTGTGGTGAAGCTAATGGACCCAAGTATATTTGTCTAATGAGTTTTGATACTTTAGGCAATTTTACCTGAAGAGGACAACGCTTAACCAAAGGAAGAAAACTCTAAGGGTAAAATTTTGGAGACTGTAGTGATTCTGGAATTAAAAAAAAAAAAATTATAACTGACTACTTACTCAGCAGGGCTTCCGAGGTGGCACTAGTGATCAAGAATCCACCTGCCAATGCAGAAAATGCAAGGTCAGGTGCAATCCCTGGGTCAGAAAGATACCCTGGAGAAGAAAATGGAAACCCACTCCAGTGTTCTTACCCATAAAATTCCATCAACAGAGGGGCTTGAAGGGCTATAGTCCATGGGGTCGCAAAGAGTCTGACATGACTAAGCAACTGAGCATGCACACATGTGCACACACACACACACTCAGCACACCTGAATAAATGAAGGTTTTTTTTCTTCCAATCAGTGTAGTAGCATATTGCTAATATAGTCTCTTTATCTGTCTTTACTGGTGGATAATTTCAGAAAATAGAGACCTGCAACTTTAAGCATTTAAAAACATATCTAAACTCTATGAACATATTTTTAAATATACTATTCTTGTAAGGCATGGTGAAAATTACTGTTTTTGCTAGCTGAGACAGAAATTCTTCTTATGGGAAGAATAGTCTTTATTGAGTAAAACCTCTTAATGTATCTCTTAAAGGTCCATGGTGAGGTCTGATGGCATGAGTTGGAAAGAGACTAGGAAGAAATGTTCAAATTTTCTGCAAAAGAAGAAAACAAACATAGAGGACTTGGGGACCACTGAGGTTACTTAGATTCAAGAGAGTCTGGGGTTTGATTAGTTAAATGATTGAAGAGTGGAGAAGTCTACACTTTAAAATTATCCACTGTCTCATGAGGTATTTCTCCCCCCTGGTAAACATTTCTGCACAAAAACACTAGTATTCCCAATTGCCTTGCAGGCTTGCCTTTTAGGGTGTATCAAAATAAATTAGTTTCATGTATTTCACTTGGTGAGTAAATGAACAAGAGGGTGATTGAATTGATGGCTATACTTGTTTGCATTCTCTAGAAGATGTTCATAATTATACAATTTATGTTCAAATACTGAAAGGTCACAGAGGCCCTTGAGATACCTAGGCCAATTCACAACTCCATTAAGTGGCCCATGGCTGTTAGGCTATGTGAGTGCTTAGGTTTGCCTTTGGCAGTTTTTGGTCTTTCTGCTGGTTGTTAGTTTTACTTACAGCTCTAGGCACTATGTCTATTGGCTGTGTCCAATTTTCTTCAGGGAAATAAAATTGCCTGTGTGAGTTGAGAACATAGGAAGTGAAAGTTATTTAAAAAAGAATATCAAACACGAGCAATTAGTTTGTGACATAGGTCTGGAACAGTGTGTGATTTTGTAAGTAAATTGTATAATTTTCAGCCCATGGTCTATATTTTGATTGCTCAGGTGGCTGCTTTTTTCTTTTTTGTTGTCTTTTGGATATATTCTTAATAGTTCAGATTACTCAATAAAGAGGAAGAGATCCAATATGAAAATACCTTGGAATGATCCAATGGCACATTGGAAATAAGAAAAAATGCCAGGAATAAAAGGCTTGGGAGGAAGAAGTCTTGGAAAATGAAGATAGTAATAATTCTTTCCATAAATAGAAAGTAGCTATCAATAGTGATGTATGTACTCATATAAAATTTGCTTCAAATTAGAATTTTTTGGAGTGAGGCATTTTAATGCAATGAAGAGAAATAAGAATATTATTCCTTATCTTAGCTAATATATACAGAATTATTTAATGGGTATTGAAAAATGTAGCGTCCTGAAAGTCACACTTTTTTTGTTATTGTTGTTGCTTAAGGATATCACTGCCAAAATGAATGTTAAAGAGGAGTAAATTCAGTAAAAGTGAGCAGAACAACATATTAACATGTCTTAAAAATAGTTCTGCGTGTGGGAGAGAAGATGGTTGCTCTAAACTTCATTAAGCCAATTGTTGAAAAGACATCTGGAAGCTGATATACTAGGGGAGGCCAGGCAATAAACATGCATTGCTATTTTATATTAAAATGCAGTCATTTAAGCTGGATTTGTTTGAACAAAATGCATTTTTAGTACTTGCAAATTGAGTTGCTTCCCTGGATCACTGTTGGTGTGGGGGGAGAACAAGAGAGACTGGAGGTGAACAGGATGGGGGGGGCTCAGTTTCCAAGACAGAACAGAGACAATTGAGTGGTGGGTGATCATAGGCCAGCTCCCCAAAGTAGAGCAGTCTAGGTCTGAAATTACACTTGTGAGCAATTGTATTATTTCTTCCAGAATTATAAGCTCATTGAAGGTAAAAACTGTCTTTTTTTTTCCTTCTGTATTTCTATCGACCAAAATAATAAGCATTCAATGAAAATAAAATAATGATTATTTCCCAGTAAATAAAATATGAAATTTTACTGGGAAAAAGATGTCATTCAGAATTAGATACAGTGGGTGCTTAAAGAATTTTTTTTTTGCAAAGTATCAAAACGTTCCTGGGCTACTATATGCATTGTTTCAATCAATGGAGGATTAGATCCTATTGTTATAAAGGTAAATAAGACAGAGTAACTGCTTTCAAGAAATTTAAAAGCCACTTGACCCAAATTATGAGTATACTACATTTTTTCTTCTTAAAACTCCATATCTAATAATTCTTTAACATTAATTTATTATTTATGCATGGAAAGTGAAGTCTTCTATTCAAGGATAAAGTTGATGTCAAAGAACATATCCAAAGACATTTTGTGAACTTTCATTTTTGCTTTACATTATTGCCAAAGACCCACCATAAGGCTGGTTTGAAGCTACAGCATGATATATAGGATTCCACCACTCCAAAAATATTTTAAACCAAAGCAGTAGAATTAGGTTTATTTATTAATATGAACCCTCATGCTCTTATGCTATGATCTTTTGTACAACTTCTGCCTAAATGACAAACTTTCTTCTAATTCTGGTAATGAGCATCAAACAGTAATCATGAATGTACTTATAAGTTCAAATTCATTCATTATTTCATGATTTTACTTCCCTGAAATTTATTGAATGGATCCCAGAGCCCAGGAACTATTCTGGACAGTGGTGATTTAATGATGAATAAGAGATAAAAATCCTGCATTCAAGGAATTCCTATTTTAGTTCACCCAAAGTCATCCCTCTCTTTCTGTACCATTTATACAACCAGTTAATGTCTGTTCTATATATTTATGCACCTGTGTAACTTGTCCATAATGGTCACTTTCCTGAAACCATAGTCATTTTTGTGTATTCCCAGAGATTCTGAATATGCATGGATCCTCAAAGTCACCACTAATTCTTGCCTAACTTTGGTTAACAATCTGGTTTTATTAGTTTGTCATCTCTCCAAGTGTCTTCTCTTGTCATCATCAAAGCACATATTTAAAGGGCTTAATATTTTTTCTATTTTAAAGCAGCTTTTTAAAAAATATATACCAATGAGTTTCTTTTAAAAGTATTACCAGGGATTATGCTCAGCATAATTCTCCTTGACCCTGACTCCCACTTCAATTACAGAGCACTTTTGCTTTCTATTTTATACATCCCTCTACTGTTTGAAGTTTCACAAGCATGTATTGCTTTTTCTATTCAGGGAAAACAATAAAGATATTAAAATTTTGAGTAAGCTTCCAAGGGGTTATTTCAAGCAAATATATCCTCAAAACGGGTTTCCAAATATTAAATTTAATTGTATGAGTTACTGAGAGAACTGTAAGAAATTTAATTACATTTTTCTTATGAAGAATAGAGATGATAAGAAAAGCATTTTCCCAACCACATCGCCTATATAATTAGGAATATCATGAAAGATAGAAGTGTTCATCCTCTAGAATAAATGGAACACTAAGCAATTCTCATTCTTCAGCATGAAAATGTGTTAGTCCAAATAAATTATAGCAATCAAAGACTTCAGGTATAAAACAGAAAATTTTTAAAGGATACCATTTAAACTGTAGGGAATAGACCTTACAATCTGACTATAATTTCAAAAGGCCTTAAGTCAGATAAACAAATAGGACCAAAACATGACTCTTTATTTTATATTTCTATTCTAATTCTTATCCGTGTCATTACCCTATTTTTGAGACATTTCTCAACCCTACCACATCAAGATTCCAAGTTCAAAGAATAAGGGTGCAGATGAGATGAAAACCATGGATGAAATTAAACCATCTATGAAACTACCACTTTGACTATACTTTTCATTTCTTTATACTCACTGAATCCTCCAGAAATGCTTGCATATTTTTTTTATATTTTTCTCCCACTGATGTACATCTTTGTCGTTTCCAAGTAGCTCTATAACACCTGTAAATGAGATCTTTGAGAATATTTTTGTAACTCCTTTCCTAGAGAAGTGCCACCTGATAGAGGATAAATTTATTTGTTAAAAATAGTATTAACTTAATGAATCTTTAACATGGAAATTTAGGCAAGGGGCTGTCAGAAAAAGAAAAAAAAAAAACAAGATGCCATTTAAGAAATGTTAATCTAGGCCATAGTGCTATAATAGGAATGGGCAAGATCTGACAGCATGTTTCCAAAGCTTTTATATTTATTATTCTATTTGGGGGTATTCAATAGTTTTTTGACGGTTATAAAGCAAAGACAGAAGTTATAGTAACCAGCTTTGAGGATGGTCCCAGTGATGCTCACCCCTTTGTGTTCATGCCTCTTGTCTCACCCTCCTGCATTGAATGAGGATGACCTGTGAAACAAGTAGAAGATTGGGGAAATTATTGAAGTTTCTGCCTTTCCATCTCAGATCATTTCCTCTGCATGAAACCAGCTGCCATATCCTGAGAGTATGTAAGCAGTCTTTTGGAGAGTTCTCTGTAGCAATGAATAGATTCTTCCTGGAAGCAGCCAGCACCAACTAGCCAGGCATCTGAGCAAGTCCACTTAGAAATGATCCTTCAGCCACCGTAAAATCTGCAGATGTCAGTATCTCTGACCATCAACTTGACCACAACCTTATGAGAGGTCCTGAGCTAGAACCTTCTAGATAAGCCACCACCCAATCCTTAATCACAGATAAATTTATTGTCTTAGAATGTTCGGTTAGGGGGCAATTTGTTATTCACTAAAAGTTAAGTAATATAAGTACATTTACTAAAGAAATTACTATAACTTTTAAATTTTTTTCTTTTATTCCATCACATTATAGTTAGAAAATATATTTAAAATCAGAAAAAATTCTGACACAGTCTAACTACTTCATATGTTTTAACCATGAGAACACTCTACAACAGGCATACTTAAATATATCTTGCTCCTGATCTTTTTTTTTATTTTTAACAATACCAAGAGGTAACATACAAATCTTATTAGTGCAGAATTATGGAAATGTGATCACAAAAATAGTTTTACAGCTTTTGATTGAAAAATACCATGAATATTTAATCCAAATGATGTTAAATTAAGATGTATCTTAATTCAACAATCCCAGCTTAACATAATTTAATAAGATGTCCTCAAAATTAAAAAAGTATGAACCATGAATATATGCATATAATTTATCTGAAAACAAAGTGATTCCTATTGCTAGTTTTTGACCTGCTATAGTTAAGTGAAACTCACTGAGTCATGTCCGACTCTCTGTGACCCCATGGACTGGAGTGGGTAGCCTTTCCCTTCTCCAGGGGATCTTCTCAACTCAGGGATCAAACCCAGATCTCCTGCATTGCAGGCAGATTCTTTACCAGCTGAGCCACAGGGGAAGCCCAGTGATACTGGAACGGGTAGTCTATCCCTTCTCCAGGGAATCTTCACAACCCAGGAATCGAACTGGTGTTTCCTGCATTGCAGGCAGATTCTTTACCAACCGAGCTATCAGGGAAACCCTAAATCTATTTTTAAAATCTTTTTGTAAATGATGATTAAGATGCACAGCATTCAAAGGTAAGAATCTCAATTAAATTGTCCTAAAGAAATGTTCTAAAACATCTAAATTGTTCCAGATTAAAATTATAAACTGACATTGGAGTTTATTTCTGCCTCAAACTTTATACTAGAAAAGAAAACAGAGACTACAATAATTCATCCATCCTCTTAGTAATTGTACTCTCTCATTCTTCTTACTGATTTATTCAAATAAGCTGCTGTCATTTTTCCTTCTAATATACACCTCACAGGCAATATATCTTTACTATACTCTTCCCACTAAATGTAATATATCTCTCATAAAAGAAATATATCTTATGCCTGTTTTGAATAAATGTATTTTTAGGAGTTTAGAGGCCCAATATTTCTGTGGTAGTGGTGGTAACTGGAATGAAATGTTAATCTCATCAAAAAGAAAGAAACCATGAAGACTGAATCAGGTACTGAATTCATTTCTCTTGGTAATAATTATCAGGTTCAACTGGACACTCATCTCTCAGCCAATACTAGTGTTTTTGTTCTTAGGTTGTTAGGGAAATATTAAATATATTTCATGGGATTTAATTGTCCGAAGTCTTCCTGATGACTTGTCAATAAAGGTAAGGGAAGATAATTAGAACTGGTTCCCTCATCTAACTCCCTTAATGTTGGAAAACAATGTGAGTATTCAGCTGGTAAAAAAGAATCTGCTGAATAGACTGAATTCTCCTGAAGTAAAAGTAAAAGCGTCTTTTTATATTTTGTTATTTCTAGATATATTCCCTGTAATACTCACTGCTTTTTTTTTTTAAACCACACTTAGATGTAAATCAAATAGATGTGGTTTTGCTACTTGGCAGTTATCTTGAATGTATTTCTTAATCATTTATGTTACTTTTCCTATGGTAATTACATTTCTTAATCACAATTTGAATTATGATTACAATCACAATCATAATTCACAAATCTGAATTATGTTCAAATTTGAAATCAGTGTAGTTTAACATTAAAAGATTCTCAGTTTAGACAGACTAACTCTTTGGTTTGTTTATCTCTTGCTTCATATCAATAGCCCTTGGTCTGATATGTGGTCACTGACCCAAAAAGAACCAAAAGGAGAAAGAAGCTGGATGTGAGGGAAAGGTACTGACAGGGTAATGGGAAGAGGGCAATTCTGGTAGGGAGTCCAGGGCACCTTCAGCACTATTTCTAGAGTAGGTTTGTCCAGGATATCTAATGAAGTAGAAAGTGGTGGCATCTTTTTTTAATTGATGTATAGTTGATTTGGTTGGGGCATGGAATTGAATCACTGTGATGCTGAATAGTTTGCCTTGGAAATGAAGCAAGATCATTCTGTTATTTTTGAGACTGCACCCAAGTACTGCATTTCAGATTCTTTCATTGACTTGAGGGCTGCTCCATTTCTTCTATGGGATTTTTGCCCACAGTAGTAGATATGCTGATGGTCTGAATTAAATTTGCCCATTCCCATCCATTTTCAGTTCATTGATTCCTCAGATGTTAATGTTCCATCTTGCTATCTCCTGCTTGACCACATCCAATTTACCTTGATTCATGGACCTAACATTCCAGGTTCCTATGCAATATTGTTCTATACCGTATAGAATTTGACTTTCAGCACCAGACACATACCCAACTGAGTGTCATTTCTGCCTTGGCCCAGCCACTTCATTATTTCTGGAGCTATTAGTAATTACCCTTTCCTCTTACCCAGTAGCATATTGGACACTTTCCAACCTGAGTTGGGGGCCTCATCTTCCAGCATCATACAGTTTTACCTTTTCAAACTGTCCATGGAGTCCTTCAGGCAAGAATACTAGAGTGGGTTTCCATTTCCTTCTCCAGTGGACCACATTTCATCAGAACTCTTCACTATGACCCATCCATCTTGGGTGGCCCTGCATGGCATGGCTCATAGCTTCAAGTCTATGTCAGGAAGGCTTATAGCTTCTAGTCTATCCAAGTCTATCCCCCAATCACTGATGCTGAAGAAGCTGAAGTTGACTAGTTCTATGAAAACCTACAAACCTTATAGAACTAACATCAGAAAAAAATTTTAAAATGTCCTTTTCATCACAGGGGATTGAAATGCTAAAGTAAGAAGTAGGAAGTAGATACCTGAAATAACAGGCAAGTTTAGTTTTGGAGTACAAAAGAAGCAGGGCAAAGGCTAAAAGAGTTTTGTCAAAAGAATACTCTGGTAATAACAAACACCCTTTCCAACAACCCAAGGGATGACTCTCCAGATGGACATAATCAGATGGTCAATACTGAACTCAGATTGATTATGTTCTTTGCAGACAAAGATGAAGCTCTATATCATCAATAAAAATAAACATTGGAGCTGACTGTGTCTCAGATCATGAGTTCCTTATTGAAATGCTGCTGCTGCTGCTAAGTTGCTTCAATCGTGTCTGACTCTGCAACCCCAGAGATGGCAGCCCACCAGGCTCCCCCATCCTTGGGATTCTCCAAGCAAGAACACTGGAGCGGGTTGCCATTTCCTTCTCCAATGCATGAAAGTGAAGTCGCTCAGTCGTGTCTAACTCTTAGCGACCCCATAGACTGCAGCCCACCAGGCTCCTCCGTCCATGGGATTTTCCAGCAAGAGTACTGGAGTGGGTTGCCATTGCCTTCTCCACCTTATTGAAATATTCAGGCTTAAATTGAAGAAAGTGGGGAAAACCACTAGGTCATTCAGATAAGACCCAAATCAAATTCCTTATACAATGCAGGTGATTCCTTATACAATGCAGGTGACAAATATGTTCAAGGGCTTACACCTGGTAGACAGGAGGCCTGAAACACTAAGGACTGAGGCTTGTAACACCATACAAGAGGCAGTGATCAAAACCAATTCAAGAAGGCAAAGTGGTTGTCTGAGGAAGATTTACAAACAGCTGAGGGAAAAAGAAAAAATGAAAGGCAAAGGAGAAAGGGAAAGATATACTCAAATGAATGCAAAGTTCCAGAGAATAGCAAGGAAAGATAACAAGGCTTTCTTAAATGAACAGTGCAAGGAAATAGAGGAAGCAGAAAACAACAAAATTCTGTAAAGCAATTATCCTTCAATTGAAAAATAAGTTAAAATTTCAAAAAAAGAAATAGAGGAAAACAATAGAATGGGAAAGACTAGAGATCTCTTTAAGAAAATTGGAGATATCAAGGGAACATTTTATACAAAGAGGGGTACGATGAAGGACAGAAATTGTAAGGACCTAACAGAAGTAGAGATTAAGAAGAGGCAACAAGAATACACAGAACTATACAAGAAAAGTCTTAACGATCTGGATAACCACAATGGTATGGTCACACACCTAGAGCAGGACATCCTGGAGGCTGAAGTCAAGTGGGCCTTCTGAACCATTACTATAAACAGAGCTATTGGAAGTGATGGAATTCCCGCTGACCTATTTAAAATTCTAAAAGATGATGCTGTTAAAGTGTTGCACTCAATATGTTCAGCAAATTTAAAAAACTCAGCAGTAACCGCAAGACTGGAAAAGGTCAATTTTCATTCCAATCTCAAAGAATTGTACTACAGTACAATTGCGCTCATTTCACATACTAGCAAGGTTATGCTCAAAATCCTTCAAGCTAGGCTTCAGCAGTAAGTGAACCAAGAACTTCCAGATGTATAAGCTGGGCTTTTAAAGAGGCAAAGGAACCAGAGATCAAATGCCAACATTCAATGGAGAAAGCAAGGGAGTTTCAGAAAGACACTTACCTCTGCTTCATTATCTATGCTGAAGCCTTTGACTGTGTGGATCACAACAAACTGAAAAATTCTTAAAGAGATGGGAGTATTAGACCATTTTATTTGTC